AAAAATCAGTCTGTGAAAGGCTTGAGGAATAATGGCTCATAATTTTGATTAAAAAAGTAAGGAGAATATTATTCACCCATAAAAAGGAATGAAGCACCAACACACGCTCCATGTGGACCAACCCTGAACATATTATGAAAGGTGCAAGAGGCCAAACCCAAAGGTCATATATTATGCTGTGATTCTGTTTACACAGAATATCCTGAGGGGGGGTGCGGGGGGAGGGGAGACAAGGGCCAGAAACTGCCTAGTGGTAAGGGGTTTTCTTTCGGGGAGTGAAAATGTTTTTGAATTAGATTAAAGCTGGTGGTTGCACAACACTGTGAATGCCCTAAATGCCACCGACTTGTTCATTTTAAAATGGTTAAGCTAATGTTCTGTGAATTTCCCCTCAATAAATTACTTTAAAAACAAATAAAAAACAAAAAAGGACACAGGAGCCAGCCCAAAGAGGCTGCCACTGACCAAACCAGAAAAACCTGAGGCTGAATCACGGTAGGGATGGTTTACAACACATTAACATGCACTGAATAATAAATAACTCGTGAGTCTATACTGGGAGGGGAAAAAAAAAGTAAGGCACAAAATAGGACATACCTCCGAAAGAGCCAAAACAGGGCGTGGAAAAGCACTATCAGAGAGAGACCAGGTAGAAAGTTCTCCCCTCGGGTCCTGTTGAGTCCAAACCCAAGGTCCCGCTCTTTCCCTTGACACCTGCTCCTCACCCAGCCCTCCCCGACTCCCTGACTCAGCCCACGGGGGTGCTCCTGGCATTGGCCGTCATTCTGCCCACTGCTGAGCCCAAGCAGCTGCGGGCCCTTGACTCTCCACGGTGAAGCAGCAAATCTACCAACAAACCATCAGAATTTGCCCATTTCCGTCATCTCTCCCGCCATCGCCCTGGGCCCAGCCAACAGCAATCCCCGCCGGCTGGATTTCCATCACACTCCCCCAGCCAGGCTTCCTGCTCCCACTCTTGCTCCTGTCCAAGAGTCTACTTTGCACACAGCATTGAGGATGGCTTCTTAAAACACAGGTCACCTGAGTGTTCGTCTGAAGTTTCCGATAATGAAGTCCATTTATGTTTCATGTGCTTTCCTTTATATCACGCAGTTCACAACTTTTTCAATGGTTAAAAAAATATAACAGGTTAAATCAGATGATGTCCATCTTCTGGTCAAAACCCTCCATATCCCACTTAAGGAAAAAAGTAAGTTCCTTCCATGCCCTCGAAGGCCCTATACAATCTGAGCTCTGCTCTCTTAGATGCTGTCCCTTGGGTTCTCTCCCTCCTCCTCCAGCTGCTGGATCCACCCTGGCCTCCTCACTGCTCCTAAAATAAACCAACAGAGTCCAACCTGAGAGCCTCTGAGCATGCTGTTCCCTCTGCCTGCAGTGCCCTTCCCCGGGCACCTGCTGAAATGTCGCCATCCTCGAACAGCCTCCCATGACCAGCCTGAATGAAGTAACAGGCTCCTACTGCCCTGACCTCTGAACTTGGTTCACTTTGCCTCCCAGCACTCACCACCACCAGGCATATTACACGTCTGTCTATGTTCTGTCTTCCCCCAAGAAGAACGAAAGCTCCACGGAACAGGGACCCTGTTTTGACTTTTCGTGGCTGGACACATGATCTCAGTGCTGGCCCCGAGCAACAGCATTCTTGTTGAAAGAGCTGGTGACTGCATAAATCACCAGCATGACGAGAGACCGTGGACGGCAATGCCACGGCCTGTGCCCTGGAGGTCATGGCCTCAGAGCCCGACCCCGGAGCCCACCAGCCAGCTCCAGCAGACGGCTCCTTCCCAGAGCGGAGAGCGATCCTCATCACAGTCAGACGCCTCACACAAGACAAGTGAGAATAAATGCCCTCCTGGCCCTCGAGGGTCACGGGTCATTCATCCCTCCCGAACCCCAGACTCCTCAGCCCACGGAACGTCCAGTACAACAAAACAACTCCAAGCATAGGATGTCCTGATAAAGGATGGGTATCACTGGGGTCCTTCCACAGACACCCACAAAGCAATATTTGCAATTGCAATAAGAAAAAAAAAATGTCAATGAACCCAAGTCACTTGGAGGCAAGGCCCCCAGGACTCCCCACGTCAGCTTGCCCTGAGCTGACATTTTCCAAGTGCCTTTTCCCACTGGCTCAGAGACCCCAGAGCCAGACGGGGACTGGCTGACATGGGCTGTGACTCTAAAAGTCACCCGGAGCGGCAGTGCTTAGCCTTGGCCTCACATCCAAGTCACCTGGAGGGCTCTGTAAAACCTTCAGAGCCCAGCCACACCCCAAACTGGTTAAACCACACACCAGGCATCAGGGCTTCTGACAACTCGCCAGTGGAACCCAAATGTGCAGCTGATGCTGAAAAACACCCACCTGGAGGGTGCAGGTGGTACTGACGTGAGACTGTGAGCCAGGGACCCATGGTTTCCTTACCTCACCAGCGTGTCGCCGCCCGCCCCTCCTGGGCTATAGTAGAGCACGTTCTCCAAGGACAGGGAGAACTTCAGCCCCTCTGCCTCCGAGATGTATAAGTTGGTGCGGTTGTTACTGTGACTGACGCATACAAACACCTGGTCCTCGGAGGCATCTGCGATGTAATACTCCTTTGGAATCAAAAGTCGAAAAATACACAAGTCAAAAGACCCACATGCGCAGTGGGCTTTCCCTATGCACACTAAAGTAATGATTTCCAAACGTCCCAGTGAGAGGTATGGGCCCGGAGCCCAGAGACAGCTTCCCAAATCCCTGTAAAGCTCGGCCAACTTTCTTTTTGGAGGAGCTCAGGCCGCCATGTAGCTGAAGCAAGCTGCTTCCTGGCGAATGGGGCCCAAAAGAAGGGGCCACCGAACTCCATAAATGACCTAAACAGTTCAGTTTAGTTCATAACGTCTCCCTCTTTTTCCCATGAGGTCTATTGTTAGTACCAAGTACGATATACATTAATGTGCATTCCCTTTCCTCTAAGGTACTAAAGGAAGATGGAAGCTGTAAAAAGCAAAGAATGGACAAGAATCTTCTCCACCTGAGCTCCCAACCTTCCACCACACCAACTGCTAGTGGCAAGGCCTTCAAATGCCACCTCCTACCTGTGGGCACTTCTCTGATGACCCCAGCCCACCAGGATCCTTCCTATGATCTACGTCATCATACACACAGACTATATATGGTTTGGACCAAGCATTGGACTATATATGGTTTCTTCCTCTGCTTGGTTCTCTGTGTCTCCAACCTGTGTTTCTAAAAGGGTGGGACCCAGCTCTTATCCCCTTTTGTAATCCAGCCGCCTACTGTAAGCAACAGAGCAGGTCCCGAACAAATAACTCAGGGTCACCAGCTCCCCATTCCTTCAGTACTGGCACCCTGAGCCCACTGACTCTAGTCTCAAACTTCTCTGCCCATCCGTCTCCACATAAAGCAAATTAAGGCTCCCATCCGGCTGCACTCTGAACAGTGAAGAGGGAAAAAAAAACAGACCAAGATGCCCAAAGCATAATGGTTCTCTCTAGGGACCTATCTAGAAAGGGACTTCAGGGAGCCTCCATCAAAGATCTATCTACCCAGAAAGACGTCCCTGCAACACCCTTCCCCTGACCCCTGCATGCGGACATTAACACTTCTTTCCACCCCCAAGCAGACCCCACTCACATTAATAGGATGTCTCGTGACAAACTGGGCTGCTCGCATGGGCTTCCTGCCAAAGGAGACCCAGAGCTGGACAGAAGATGGCTGCAGACTGCCCCAAAGATGCTGCCCAGGAAGAGGAGAAAAAAAAAAGTTAATGGTGCCACATTACAGCCACTCCAAATAAGTGAAGAAGGAAACAGAAGTGTCAGACCCCTCCAATTCTACCAAAAACACGAAACACAGGGTGACTGCAAATGCACATTTTTGCAACATCCGTGTTCACTCCGCAGCTCGGGCTGTACTCGCTTGATCCAGGACACCTGGTCTGCGACAGGTACCAGATACTCCCTAACGCCAGATGAGGACGAAGGACAAACAGTACTGTGGCTGAAGCTGGGTGTGGGAGGGGGGTGGAGATTTAGCCAGGCAGCCCCCAGACCTGCCCAGGGTGAGGTCAGCCACACGCAGCGCATATCAAACCCATTCCCCTTGTTCTTTCTCTCCTATTTTCAGGTTACAAGGATACTCAAATTCAAGGGCTTTAACGTGCACAAAGAGCTGAGGGAATTTTCGCTGATTCTCTTTTGCGACCTTTTAATACTTCTCATTGATGAACGTTTTTGCTGGCGTTATGTTTTCTTCGGTAGGGCATGATGTCGGCCCTGTCACATTGTGTTTTAGAGATACTAGAGCACTGCTGGAATCTCGAAAATGTGTACAAAAGCACTAGATTAAGAGCTGGCTGTACACCTCAGGAAGTCACTAAGCCTCTCTCAGTCTCAATTTATTCATCTATAAAACTGAGAAGCTGATTAGGCTCGGGACTTCTCTGTCGACGGCTGTCAATGGCCCAGGAATCCTATAAATACAAAGGCAAACAGTGGGTATAGATGTACCCATTCATCCCGCCGGGGAGGGTACACAATCTTTACCAGATCCTCAAAAGGGGCGATGATTCAAAAAAAGATAAGCAGCACCGTAAAGGCTCAGTGTGAGTTCTTCCACCTCTGAAAGTATGGGACTGGGAACTGAGGCAAAATGTTGCACATCTATCCAGACAGAAAGGGACACACACCATCATGTGGACATAATCACACACACGACTATTAAGCTGATCGGAATATTGGGATTGCCAGCCAGAAGGGGTTCATTTGGCTTCATTTACCCTTGACCGTGTTGCTACTGTTCACCACAGATTTTAAATTCCTGTAAAGTAAGAAACATACCAATTTCTCTTAACTATAATAGAACCGAATCCCCTGTGCTAATATATGCCCAATAAACACTATGTGAAGAGCAAGCTGATGAACGAACCTGAAGTTATTCTTGATTTATCTGAGCAGTATATATATATACATACATATATATACACATATACGTATATATATATGCAAACACACATATATTCAAACAAATGGCTAAAAGTAGTCTGTTTCAAAGAAGCCAGGTAGGGAGGTACAAACGACAGCCTTTCCAAAATGGCACGTGGAAAACCATGGTAATAGCTTGTACTCAGTATGGGGCCGCAGGAAACGATGGATCTAATAAAAATGTAAAACTTATTACACCTGAATGAGAAAACAGTACCCAGCAAAACTGTTAGGCATAGATCCCAAAAGCCCTCTTTAAGTCAATAAAATTTTATAGCTATTTATAAAGGTCAGAGGATCCACGTAAGTTACCCTATATAAATCCCTATAAATATATATGAATACACAGATGTCCGTGAAAAACATACTTCAATGCTTTATACTTTTTCACTTCTTCCCACTGTGGTTAAACCTTAGAAAGGAGCCACTTTTCTCAGTGACACTGGGGGGGCCATCATTAGTTAAGCATTCTTAACGAGTGCTGTTGGTTGGCACGAGAATTGAGAATTCATACCAAGGCCAGTCTTCCTCCATCGATGCAAAAGTCAGAGTACAAAGGTCATAAGAAACCTCAAAACAAACCAAAAAAACAACAAAAAAAGAAACCTCAAAAAACACGCATCCCACTTCCTTCTGGGACAATAATTCCTAAGCCTGGACAATTCAGGTTCACCCCTAAGGAGTCACTGTAATACTTTCTTGCCACCAAGAAACATATTAACAATTTTGTAGCACACTGTGGATTGTCAGATAGATGTATCAAAAGCTCCTAGCACTTTCCTTAATGAGCCATGGGTTGTTGTGGTGGTTGAGTTTCTCTTTACCACAAGGACAAAAGTAAAACATGAGAAAGAAACATCCAACAGTACAGACAGATGTAAAGTAAAATGCAGACACTCTGCTCCCTACCCTCTACTCACTCCTCCTACCCTACTCCCCAGGGAGTAAAAGGGAACAGGCTCCCATGGGGTCTTTAAGGAGTGTTCTGTACCATCACCCCTGAGCATATTTATATAGTGACAGAGGATGCTACACTTACCCAACATCCATTATTCCTTCCTCCTTAGCAACAGGATCTTGACTGCCACCCTAAATAAACCACTGGGGTTCTCTACCTTTTGCATAACTGCATGTGGCCATGTGACTGAGTACCAGTCAATACCCGTAAACCTAAGTGGTGTGTTGGGTTTCTAGGAAGGCTGCTGGAAGGGACTTAATCAGTGGGAAGGGGTCCTATTTTGGCCTATCTGTCCTTACTCTTTCTGACTCCTGTAAAGACTCAAAGGCTAGTACAGATGTCCTAGACCAAGAGGGAATGGTGAAGATGGAAATCATTAGTCAGGTTGGTGGAACAGAGAGAGGCCTGGGCCCCCAGGGTACCAGGGTACCAACATACCAGCCCTACACTGCCTACCTCCAGGCAGCATGGAGGAGAGGAAAATAAGTTTCTGTATTCGTTAAGCCACTTTTTATTTCTACTCTGTTACCAGTAATTGAACACAATGTCAATTTGCTACATGTAATTTTATTTTCCACATAAAAATATCCTTGTGCAATTCAACTTTCTTCATTAACAGTCTCTTAGGCATCTTTCATTTAACAGCTCATGGGCTCTGACATGATTTCCAGAAGCACTCTTCAGTGAATATACCTGTATATATTACCTTTCCCAGAACTACACAAGAATATCTGTAGGATGCCATTCTTAAAACCCCTAGGTCAAAGTTTTCATTTTTGACAGAAAAAATAGCCTTCCTGAAAGGCTATCCCAGTTAATATAGCTCCCAGCACAAATATTTTCACCAGCGTCCAGGAGGTATTTCAATGCTTCAAGTTATGCCGGTATTCTAGGGTCGGAAAATGTAAGATAAGATCTTTGTTTCATTTGGATCTTTCATTCCGATAAGGAAAAATAAATTGATGTAAGTAGCTGAATAATCTGGATTTCAAAAAGTGCACTTATATTTATGTTTGAGATTATACCAAAGGAAACAAGAGGTCAAGGAGGAAAGAGCAGAGAGAACTAAATAAATGACACATTCTTGCCAAGTGAAGGCCACAGGATGTCACAGTGAGCTCTTCAATCGGACGTTTCACGGAGAACAGTGGCCAGAGAATGAGGGACCCCGTGGCACGTGGCGGACAAGGACACAGTCCAGAACAGGCTCTAGCATTCACGCCCACCTTCTCCTCTGAGACAGTGACAAGGGATCAGCAAAACATCATCATCCACATTAGTGTTGTTTATACTAAAATATTTATAGATAACATTTTATATATATTTTGTTTATACGTGTTTATGCTTTAAAAATAGTCCAAGAAAGGGGCACCTGGGTGGCTCAGTCAGTTAAACGTCCGATTCTTGATCTCAGCTCAGGTCGTGATCTCAGGGTCGTGAGATCGAGCCCCATGTTGGGGTCCATGCTGGGCGTGGAGCCTACTTCAAAAATAATAATAATAAAAATAAAATATTCCAAGAAAAAAATAACACAGCCAAAAAGAGATCAGCAAATGTAAATAATATTGAGGCTGAATGAGTGCACCTGTGGCAGTCCTATCAGTAGAAACTGTGCTTTTATGTAGATTTGAAAGCGTCCATAATGAACAGTTTCACAAAGTTAGTATTCACTGCAAGCACGTCAAGAATGGCTGAGGAAGGAACTCTGAAAATCCACTCATCCAAAAAGCAACAAGAACACTGACAAAAATTCTCAAAGTCAACTTTTTTAGAATTCAAAAAATTAAATAAAGGCTTGCCAAAACCCAAAGAGCACTTATTGGAGAACGGTGTCAAAGCTCAGCAAGAAGAGCCGACTTTGTGGCCTCAGTCCCACCCCCTTTGCTCTAGCTCTGCGGTAGCCTCGGAAACCCACAGCCTCGCAGCTCCGGGAACTGTGAAAACCAGCAGCCGCGCGGTCAATGGAGGGGACAGACTGTTGCCACGGCCAGCTTGAAACTGCATTCTCAGGTCTTCTCTACATATAACCTGCCTCAGCTCGCTGCACAGACAGACCTATGGAAACAGAGACAAGTGTTTCACATCGCAGCTGCTAGAGCGACATGGCACCTGGAACTCACAAAAGGCTTACGGAAAAGCTGGGGAAGTAGATGCCCCTAAGAGGCTTTGATAAGCTCTGAAATATTCCGGGGAATATTCACACACGCAAGAGCTGTGAGTATGCTCAGAAGAGAAGCGAAAACACACGCAAAAGAAGGTCACACACGCAAGAGCTGTGAGTATGCTCAGAAGAGAAGCGAAAAGGGCCTAATCACTCATGGCTGGGTCTACGGAAGCAGGAACTGAAGGCTAAGGCAGAGTTGTAGGTTGCACTAAAGGCAGGCCCCCCACCCATGCTCAAAGGCCCTCAGCAAAGGCTACCAGATGTACTGATTCAAAGCATTTAAGAAAAATCTCTGTTCAATCATTAGCTAACCACGAAGCCTAATTATCAAACATTTCATAGCCACACACAATGAAGAATGCAAACTCTACAAAATTAATGAAGGAAAGTCACAAACAAAACAAATACAGGCAACAGTAGGAAAAGGTAACAAAAACCATTTTGGGAAGGGGCTACTCTGATATAAACAGTTGCCACCTTATACCATCAAAAATGTCTGATTTTCAATAAAAGAATGGTAAGACAAGCAAACAGCAAAGTATGGCCCCTACATAAACACCACACACACACACACACACACACACACACACACACACACACAGAGTCAATAGAAACTGTTCCTGAGGAAGGCCCGATATTGGACTCACAAACAAAACATTTAAACCCCCTATCATAAATATGTTCAAAAAATTAAAAGAAACCATGTCACAAGAATTAAAGGAAAGTATGAGAACACAGTCTCACTAAATGAGAGTATCACTAAAGAAACAGAAATTATAGAGATACAAATTCTTGAGTGGGAAAGGACAATAACTCACAAGAAAAAAATTACCAGAGGGGTTCAACAAGAGATCTGAACCAGCAGAAGAGAGAGGCAGTGGACCTAAAGACCCATTAATTCTGATGATCCGTAATAAACACAGATGAAATCTGAAAACATGATACTAGGAAAGAAAACAGGTACAAAAAGTCCCATGGCATAAGATACTCTTTACATAAAGTGTCCAGAATAGGCAATTCTATGAGGCAGAAAATAGATTCATGGTTGCCAGGGGCAGGGAGGGGAGGGGAATGAAATGGGGGTGCAGGGGCTGGAATTAGATAGTGATAAGCATTACACAACTTTGTGAATAAGCTAAAAACCACTGAGCTGTATACCTTAAAAGGGTGAATTTTATGGCATAGGAATTATATCTCAATACAGGTGTTATAAAAATTAATATTAAATTTATTGGTATTATAGCTTTATTTATAATGTTTGGGTTTTATTGTTATTCATAATGTGTTTGGGTTTTATTGTTGCCTATAAATTATATGCATTAAGTGTTTATACCTAGCTTTATGTTTACATACATTTAAGTAACGTTATAATTAATTTGTCAATAGCTTGGTTTTGGTCAGTTATCCTAAAAAAAATCACACTCCAATTGTGATCAGCTAACTTTTCATAGAGAAGCCCACAATCTTGAGATGATTACTAAGTTTTCTTGTTATCTCTACCAACATTAGAGACTTTAAATTAGCATAATGAAGATTAGAAATTGGTTTTCAATAGTGGTTGGTTGGTCAGAATAGCGGAAGTACAAATGAGCTCTTTTGGGAGATCAGTGGCATGCAAGATATCTGAATTGGCCATAATATCCTGAAGATAACACTCTGGCATGAATAGGGCATAACAATTTAAGGAGGCCTGTAACCTGAACTTTTAGGGGTAATGTCCACGACTTATCAAGCTTTTACACGAGAGGATTCTGGTTGCCTGATGCCAACTCAAAGGGTAACAAAATCTTGCCTTTACAACAGGGTTGGTTTTCTGTAAAGATCCATATAGAAGTATTTTAAAGTTTATGAGCCATCCCGCCTCCATGCAACTATTCAATTCTGCCACTGTGACATGAAAGCAGTGATAGACAACATGTAAGCAAATGAGCATAGCTGTTTCAATAAAACTTTATTGACAAAAATAAGTGAAGGGCCATAGTTTGCCAATCCCTGCTCTAGAACATTGTGTCTGCATCACCTAGAAGAAGAGAGGAGATGCCATCAAGCCCATACATTAGGTCTTTGCTTACTGACATACATTTGTGCAAGAAAGGTGTGGACCTGGCTTTCATGATAAGCTGATGGTGAAGCTACAGAAGAGCAGCTAGCCCTCACTTACCTCCAACATTCTGGCAACTATTAATATCTACCAGAAAGAACCTAACAGCTGTCTATTGCCAAGTTAACGAATCAATGTTGGTCCAGTTTGCAGAAGTGCCTCTTTGCTGCCTCAATGGCCTATCATTTTGATGTAGACTATTAAGTAAGTGAATGTCATGTCAAAAAACATGGAATAAAAATTAAACTTGGGTTAAAAAAAATATTAAAGAGGGGCCCCAGAGTGGTTCAGTCAGTTGAACAACTGACTCCTGATTTCAGCTCAGGGCACGATCTCAGGGTCGTTGGGTCGAGCCCCACATCGGGCACTCTGATCCGCATGGATTAGGCTTGAGATTCTCTCTCTCCCTCTCCTACTGCCCCTTCCCCACCCCCTCAAATAATTAAATAAAATCTTTAAAAAAAAAATCAGGGCGCCTGGGTTGGCTCAGTTGGTTAAGCGACTGCCTTCGGCTCAGGTCATGATCCTGGAG